CCCCCTCCGGCCCGGGACGGGAGGGCCTTGGCCGTGCAGCCAGGAGACGGCGAGGATGGCAGCGGGGTGCCGGGGGAGTGCTGCTGGCCCAGACCCTGCCTCCTGCGGGCGCTGCTGCGTGCCGGCACAGCTGCCTCCTGCTGCCGCTGGTGGCCGTCGGCTCCAACTGACCAACGGTCGCACCCCACCGGACAGCGGGAGGGGCCCGGGGGGGCCGGGGCTGGGGGTTCTCTCCAAGATGGCCGTGGCTAACTGCCGCTGGGCAGCCCCCAGCAGGACACCACTGTGGGCCAGGAGCACATCTCTCCGCCTGCCAGCAGTGCCCCTGGCCTGGAACCGGCGTGGCACGACCTCCACCAGCCTCGAGTGGCCCAGTGAAGGCCGGGAGGGCCGTAGGACGCGGCCAAATAAGTCCCGAAACGTGACCATCCCATGAACTCCATCGTGACATCGGGGTGGGGCTGTGTTTCGTGTCTGCGCTGGAAACAGCCCTGAGAGCCCAGAGACACGCTGGTTGGGGCCGAGCCTCGACCAGTGTCAAGTGCTGCCACAGCCCAGATGAAGGCCAGTAGTATTTTACGAACAACGCAAATAAGTCCCTAAAAACGTGGCCGTAAGACTAGCTCTTGTGGCCACAGGGAACCGACCATCACACTGTTTCACTGCCTTGTCCTGTGCTCAGTCCTGCCTTACAGCGCTCCACAGCTATGGTCTTCGCTTTGCTGCCAGCGTTTTAGTGGCTGGGGTTTCCAATTAGCAGCTACGCGGTGTGGTCACCTGCTTCGCAAGGAGGTCCCTAAGCCCCTGTGCATCGGTCAGGGGCGTGCGTGGCTTTTCCCGGATTCCCCATGCCCGTGCCTGGAGCATTCACAGCCAGTCCCACCCTACATCTGCAGGTCTCCCTGGGCCACTGCGACGAAGATTACATCTTTTCTCTTTCCAAAATGAGAAGGGCATCTCTTGCTAGGAGACAGGGAGAAAGAACGTAAACAGCAATCACTAATAATTTAAAATGTACGTAGGAAGACGACCTTTTGACGTGCCGCATCATGGTCATGAATCTCCATCTTTAAAACCATGAGGTTGGATTGAAAAGCACAAGATTCTTAAATATATGTATATATAAGGGTCCTTTTTATTTGCCGCTAGGTTTCAGTTGTTAGGAGAGGAGCCAAATTCTTAAATTGCTAGAAAATGCCTCTTTAATAAATTTTTTAAAAAGCTTGAATAAAATAAAAGCCAGGTATTTGTGAAATGACAAAGACCTCAAAGCTGAAACTGAAAGACAAAGGGACCAACATTATGAGATTGACCATAAAATTGTTGCGATATGATAATATCAAAGAAGTCCCAAATAAGACGCAAGAGGAAAGACAAGCCTCTGATGCATTCAGACCTCGATTCTCTGTAGAAAGGACTGGAAGAACCGAAAGATCCTGAACATGAACAGCCTTCAGCCAGCAAGTAACGCCTTATCAGACACGTCTTTATGTACATGCCCTCGGTTCCTGGTGCAGACTCCAGTAAACAATCTGCAAGACAAATATTTCTGATACGCACGTGTTCTGCACCAGCCGTGCAGCAGTTCTGCGCGCAACCAAAGGACTCATTCACCTGGACCATCTCCTTAGACACCAGTTTGCACAACCTCTGTTACTGAGAGCCCCAGAAAACTGACTCCTCCACTGGATTCACGCACAGCCAGGGCTTGAAGCCCTAAGGGCAAGACTCAGACCAGAATTAACTCAGGAGGCAACAAGAAGCGAGGAAGCCACATGAAATAAATGTCATGAGGAGGGGGTGCTGCTGCTCCTGCCCCTGGATTCCCTCCTCCGTCCACGAAGATGTGACAGCACGAGCCTGTGAAAGCACACAGGCGTGCTAAACACCCTCCCCGCGCTGTCCGTACCGATAACTGTCATTTGTCTTTCCCACGGGTGAGCGTGGGAGGGCAGGCTTACGAACGCTTCCGCAGGTACGTGGCACCCTGCACTTTAGACTCGGTACGCAGTGCCAGGGAAACCCGTCCTCGGGACACTTCGAAGCCACACGGCAAGAGGGCAAGTACAACATCTCCCACTCTGCTCTCCAGCCCCTCGCCACGCATCTTCAGCACTATCCTTCTCCCTGGGCACCCACCCAGGGAATATTTATGCAAAGTTGGGTTTGGCCTCCGCAACCTCTGCCTGAAGATTTGCAGTGGCAAAGCTACAAAGGTCAAAACAACCCACCCAACCCAAATAATTGTTTATCAGCACTGCAGTTTTACGGCAGTAATTCTGAAAAGGAGGAATTCCTCTGAACTGTTACACACTCGGCTCCAACCACTGAATCAACCTTATTCCCAGACTTTCTCCTTTATCGTATTACTCAGCTTTTTCCAAGCCTTACAAAAAACAGGATTTCTCTGCCTTGCCAACCTGAAACCAAAGGAAGCTTCCACGAAACCAGCAAACACCTCCCATCTTCTCACCGACGTCATTAACAAAGCAAAACAAACCAGAGAGGTTGTACAAGTCAGCCTATAAACCCAGGTGTGAGGAGAGCAATGTCAGTGGTAATGGGGCAAGAAAGGCAGGATAATTATACCACACCAAAATTGCCATCGTGCTGCATTCCTTTCCGGTGAAGGCCGGCAAAGAATTAGATACACCTTTTTAAATCATCAAAGGGAGTGGCTGCAAGATAGAAGGTGCTGGGATTAAGATGAAGTTCTGGGTTTGCCAGTTCTCAGCAATGGCTTTGGTGGCTGGGCTGGGCACGTCATTAACTGTTCCCAAACGGTGTTCACACCATGCCACTTCTTTTTAATCCTTATACAACTCTCAGTATTTCAAGAGGCCCAGGATCTCGCTGAGCGAAGGGCTGTACCAACCCAGGAACGGAAGACAATACCTTTCCAGAAGGTTTTTAGTACCTGGTCAACCAGTCAAGTTCAGTAACTTGTACCTCAGCGTTATTTCAGCGGAGCACAAATACTTATCGTGTCGTTCCAGCTACTACCATGAGGTCTGCAAGCTCAGGCTCTCAAACATGAAACCCCAAGAGCTTCCCCATGGAGAAGGCTGGTACAAATACTAAGCGGGGGCCCATTTTGTGCAGACGATTTAACAAGGACTGCACACGTGAGGGAACAGATTTGGCTCAGGCCTCTTCCTTTTTCAGAAGAACAAGCGTAGGAGCTTCAAAGGTGGATGAGATGAACTATTATGTCATACACACCGAAAGGAGCAGAGGGATTCGCCCCTTGTCCCTACATCCAGCTAATCCACTTGGTATTGAGATAGACTAGTGAGTACCAAAGGCCTTTAATCTACTTTTTTAGTGGTTTTCTCACTCACCCTTGCAGCCCTTTGCAGAGGGGAACCTGCTGGGAAGCTGGGTCTCGAGGAAGCTGCTCCGTGGGCGGAGAGGCACAGTGCTGGCCAGAAACGCAACCCTGCTCCACAGACCGCCGGGCAGCGCAGAGGGAGGTAGTCCTCTTCTGCAGGAGAACGACTCTCTAAGAGAAACCACAGGCAGGACAGCGGCACGCAGAGGTGAAGCTCCAGCTCCGGCTGCCTCACCTTGTTTGTGGTGCAAACGGGATTTTTAATGTCTTCCTGGGTCGTTATGGGGCGAGAGAACGTGGCACAGAACCAAAAAGGCACAGACCACCAGCGCCTTAAAAACGCGGGAATGTCCTCTCCCATCATAACTTTACACTGCAGGTTGTTCCAGTCAATCTTTCCACGGTCAGCAAAACAAATGTTGCGTTTGTGCTAGTTTTTGGAAAACACGCCAAAAAAAAAAAGACAAACACAAGGCAAAGCAGCTAGCCAAATGGCCAAGGCTTGCTATTTAATTATTTCAACATGAAGAAGTTCAATTAAAACCAGCTACAAAACAAAGACATAATGATGACCTCTCTCCTCACAAGAATTCATGCTTTGGCACAAGCAACCGGCTGGCCTGATTTTATGTCCAATAAATTTAATTTTAGCCAATAAAGCGGCTCCCGGTACAGCAGAGGAAAAGACAAGGTGTTCTGAAAAGAGCTCTTTGGGCATCATGTAACACCGTACCACTAAATAAAAATAATAAAAAAAAAAAAGGCTTAGGGCGATTTCTGTTCTCTCTTAGGCCAACCAAAAAAAAAAAGAAAAAGAAAAAGAAAATGAAAAGCATAATGCAGTTGGCATCAGCATTGGTGAGGCGAGCAGCACACAGGAGCTGACAAAACCGTCAAGCTAACTCCAGTCCCTCTTTGTGGTGAACCTGCGAAGGCACTCAGGCTCACCACTGGAAAGCCACCTGCTTCTCACGTGCGATGGTTTCGTGTTAACTGCCCTGCTGGTGAATTCAGTCTCCTGGCGGTTATCTGAGGAAGATTTTGGCATGAAGAAAACAGCCCCGTGCACATTTTCCCATGCTGAGACCCCGGGCACAGGGATGCCCGCTGCCTTCGTGTCCACCTGTGCTGGTGCAACTGAAGAAGCCATGACTTTAGTCGATGACTTCCAGCACAAAGATCGGCTTCTATGAGCCACCTCCAGCCTGGCACCTAGAGACAAAAGCATCCCCAAATTAGTGGGCACCACTGAAAAAGGAACCAAGTGTCTAAACACTTGCACAATCTGTACTTGCTCTCAGAAGCTCTTGATTTCTGAAATGGCACGCAAGCGTTTCCCAACGGACACGCGCCGTGGTATTGAAACCCTACCTATTGCGGCGACTTCGCTGCTTCCACTCCGCTTTACTCAACGTGTGAGTAATTAATCCCCACGGGGCCTCAGAGGAGGGAGGACAGCGACATTCACCGACCCGACCCAACCCAACGCGCAGGTTAAGAGGCACAGAAAAGCCAAACGCCCCGCGCCGGGGCCCTGCCAAGAAAAGAGGCCGCCGCCGTGCCACGTTGGTTCGTGCCACCAAATCCCAGCGGTGAGGAAGCGAGAAGAAAGCCTTCCTCAATTCCCCCTTCCCCCCAGGACCCTAAACTCATCAACAGGATCATTACAGCGTGCTTGCCGGGACAGGTCACTCCCGCTGCGGTAAAGGCGAGGGATTCCTGTCATCGCAGGGCTGGCGGCCTCGGTCGGAGGTTTTGCTGCGCTGCCGGCAGAGCGGCACAGCCGTGGACACCGCCACCTTGCATAATGACCGACACGGCACGTAAATAGGAGCTGCCCGCTCTCTTAACGAGCTTTATACGCAATTACTGCGCCTCACTAGGAGGAGGGTGGAAGGGAGGATTTCAAAGGAGCTGATGCCTGACTTGGCTGGGAGGCTGCGGGTCACGCCAGCACCCACCTGCTGCCACAGGCCCTGCCAGATGTGTCCCCCCAAAGCAGCTGTTCGGAGGACTCGGCCTCCCTGAGGGGGAGCGGGGTGACGGGTCATTTTGGGGACACGCACACCCCCCCCATTACGCCATCTCTCCCCCTGCGGGGAAGGGGGGGTCAGCCAAGACGCCCCACTCAGCCTCTTTGCCGAGCTCAGAAATAAAGGTGTTCCCTGAAATAAGGGGCGCGGGGCTTTTGTGGCTCCTTCTCCGAGCACTCAGCACCTACAGGCCCCAGGTGAGGGGGGCCCCGGGCCGCCGCCAGCCCGGAGGCCGCCCG